CACCCCAACCCCAACCCCAACCTCAGTCAGAACGCGCAGTCACAGCCGCAGTCGCAGCCCCAGCCCCAGCCTCAGTCGCATCCGCACCAACACATCTACCCACACCAGCACCTGCACCAGCACCAGCACCAACACCAGCACCCACATCCTCATCATCGTCTGTTGAGTGGCATTCGCGGCGCCGCTGCCGCCGCTGCTGCTGCTGCCGCAGCCGCCGCCGGAGGACACGACATGGTCGGCATGCACGGCCTCCTCTCGGACGCCATGGCGGCGGCCGAATCCATCCACGGCCTCGGGCTCACACCTTTGCCTGACCCGACAACACCAATCACACCAACGCCGACGCCAACGCCCACGGCGACGGCGACGGTGACGACTACTGCAGCGGCGACTGCAGCAGCCACGCCGACGCCAACACCAACGCCGACGGCGTCGGCGACGCTGACGGCGACGACGGCAACGCCGACGACTGGCGGTAGACCCGGCTCCGTCGGCAGTCTCCTTGGCGCCACGTCTGGCCCCGGGGCCGGCAGCAACGGCGGCGCCAGCGGACCGGGCACTTGTCTTTTGGGCGCCACACCCACCGCCTACGGCCACGCCACCAAAGGCTACAAATGCAAAATCTGCCAACACGTAAGTCGCATTCGCATTAGCATTAGCATTAGAATTTGCCCTCGCCCTGACCCACTCCCGCCCGCGGCCGATGTCTATGACCCTGCGGCCCGTCACACACACGCGAACACGAAACAGACCTACCGAATGGATTAGCAAACCCTTCCACGAGGGATCATGGCCCGAAAGGTGCATGACCTCACATTCAGGCCGCCATGACTACTGGGACAAATATCTTCCTGTGAAGAGGAGAGGAGGTCACGAGATCAACCCATTCACTTTTTCCGATCGCTCTAGCGCCAAAGATCATCTTGCTGTGTGTCTGTCTGCCAGTGTACGAATGTCAAGTTGCGTGTGCGAATGAGCAAGTGCGTGTGCGCGCCTGTACACGATCGTTCGAATCGGTCACAATTTTCCGCCACCAACTCCATAGCCCCAGCAGAGCCTTATGCAACACCAGGCGTCAAGGTCATTACTGTGCCTCCAACATTATCGATTTCTTTGCTTCTCTGTCTCCGTTCCGTTCCGTTCGGTTCGGTTCGGTTCGGCTCGGTTCCGTTCAATTTGTTGCGTTACGTCACCGTCCGTTCAATTCACATGCTCACACCTCTCGCAGTCGGCACTGATCACAACCGAGTCCCCTTTGCTTGCAGTCGTGATCACCATTCTTCCCTTCTCTTTACTCTCCTCTTTCACCTCTTCGTCCCCATCTCCCTCCTCTTCCACCTCTTCCTCCTTCTTTCCATCCTTTTCCTCCTCCACCTTCACCTTCACCTCCAGCTCCACCTCCTCTTCTCTCCCCACCTAGTCCTCTTCACCATCCTCTCCCATCACTTCCCCTTCTCACCTTTCTTTCACTTTTATCCACCTCCACCCT